GGCTACCGATCTTACCAACTAAGCTAAAGATCGAGTCAGAAAACCTTACGAATGTCTCATGTTGTAGATTGTTGCCTTGGATTTAAACGATATTTTTGCCGTTTGCCACCTGTCAGAATCATACGAAAGTTTCTTCACTCATGTTAGAGGAATAGTACATAAATATCGTCGTTAGAGAAGGCGTCAGCTGATATCCAAATAAAATGTTTTGACATGAAGCTGCCAACTTTCACTGCTCGCTTTCGTTCATCCTTCTAATTCAAGTAGTTAATTCTTTTGAGGTATTCTCACAGCAATCGCACTGAATGACGATGGTTTTTTAATTATCGCCGAACGCCGACAATTAGCAGCAGATTTGTACTCGCCATTGTCTCGCCTATAGCTCGTACTTTCCCTCACTCCGAGTTACTTTTACGGTGCGTAAATGGAACATAACTATTTTACTCTTCAATTGTTATTAAACATTAAAATATATAAAAACATTTCGATTGAGAAAATCACATCAGGTAAATTAACGCTAAATTCGTACAAAAAAATCCAAATATGAATGTAATTGACAATTCATACTATGCAGTATCTACTAGTTGTCAAATTAAACTGATTGCATGCGTAAAGTAATTAGGATAGATTCGTGTATCTACAGTATTCTATAGGTAATGGCTCTAGCCATCTGCTTTACGCTGCATCCCATAAAGAGCATTATTACTATCTGAGATCAGTGTCACATATCTTTTACTATGTTTTGATTACAGTGCCCCTTCCCACACAACCTTGTGGCTTACGGGAAGAACACTATTACCAGTGCAGCCTGCATAGGACCGTATCAGTTAAGTGCTGACTGACCTCTGATCAAGATGAAATCTGTTGACACAGACTTCATCCGGTTCTCAAAATTGTGTAGCTTTGAAAATACACATACAACACCCTATATTGTCCTGATAGGTACCTGAGCTATTGGCTCGCTCATCTCCCGTTGTGCATTGCACAACTAACAATTGCCTCCGCTAAGCCGTTGGCTGTATAGACAACTTCCAAATTTCCTCTTTGGTAGCGGAGCTTAGGCACGCTCACCTCCAATTACAAAATTCCTAAGCGGCTGGAGGGACTGGAAGCCCATCCTGTACTAGTTCTTAGGACTAGCACCGTAGATATCAGTCGCACTGTCCAGTGAAAGCTGGACAAAGCTTCCAACTTAAAGAGCAAGTCACGTGCTCCGCAGACCTTTTTGCACTTGACTCTCGTCCAGTACCGCAACGCACTAGAACTACAGCAACCCCACAACCCCAGCGAGGTCATACTCAGAATACGGGTCCATAAGAAGCCGCCCCTAGAAGCGTATCATAGGAGTGTTTTACTCGGACGTCCGCTGTACCCTAATTTTACCGGGGAGCCCGTAGTCTCCCCGGAATTCCCTATCAATAGTAGGTACAATATCTGAGAACAATTAATTATTGCAAATTTGCAAGTAATCGACATAACAACCATAAAAATGGCTCCGGCCGTCTGCGGTTGCCGACACCTGCGCCCGCTGCCACCTCATCAGGTGACGTTCTCGCGTGGAAAATGTCGAAAATGTCATATTATTGCGTTTTATTTATTTATTTTATTTATTTATTTGTGTTCAGGTTACAAAGATCCATAAATACATACCTTATAGACTAACATATATAATAATACAAAAAAAAAAACACTCATATTATATACCTTAAGGAATAACGTACATACAATATAATAATACACTATTTCTAACTAATCTACACGAATTGCACTTGTCGGTGACGTGTAGCGCAGTCTGGTGTCAGGTAACCGGCCGCGGAATCGCCGATACATGACACCCTTCGGCCAAAACTCGTCCTTCATGGAGGTCGATAGATGTCCGGTCGGCACTCTCACCACAAACGAATTAAAATTTACGTTGTGGCGGGACTCCAACCGCTCGACCATCAGGGTGTATTTGGCTTTATGTCTGATGTACTCCACTATCTCCTTAGACTTTGTGGAGTAATGCAGTCGTGACAGGTACAGCAGCGTCGTTGGTATGGCCGGACGCAGCAGGAAGTTCGGTCCTGTCGGTGCTGTGCTACACTGGTTACGCCTGGTGGGCTTCCTCTTCACCACCTTTGTGAAGCCGTCCTCATCGCACCGGTCCGTCTGCCTCAGTGATTTCGCAATTTCAAAGACAGGCTCACGGAGATTGTTTTTGGTCTTAGCCGATTGCCGCCGCTCGAATTTCGAAGTGGCGGGTCGGCTGGTACACGCGGCTACAGCGACGTATGCACGTGCAGGGGCTGACATGCACACGCGTGACGTTTCCGCCGGGACGGAGGTGTGGGCAGCAGGGCGCGGCGCATCACGCGCGACGGCAGCAGCGATCGGTGACGCAACCATTTGTGCCGGATCGACACTGCTGATGGATGCATTTTGCGCCCCACGTCGCGTGTTTATATTAGAGGCTTCTGGTGACCTATGTTGCTTAATAACGTAACTTGGGCACGCAGCTCACTTATGGTGTTATCAGAAGCCTCCAATTTAAACTGCAACACGGCCATGCTTGACTTCAGAGAAGTAATATCCTTCAGCAGCCTGGTGACATCGGCGTGATAAAACGTGATTGGAGGCAGTTTGTGCAGCTCCTTCGCCACGAATGTAGGCACGTCGTCCGGGTCAGTCTCCTTCAGGCGTGTGATAATATCCTGGAGACTCTTCACGCCTCCATCCTTCCGGCGAGATGGCATGTTCTCAGCTTTACCGAGGCTTTGGAACAGCTGCATCTTGCCACTGCAAATCTCATCCTCGTTGAAGTTGGATTTGCAGATCTGCACAATGCTAACCTCGTCCATAGTATCAATGGCGTGTTGGATAAACGCCAAAACTCATTGGCTACGAGTTGTTGGAAACCCATTGCCAGAGACGCGCAGCGGCCTAAAATGCCGTGCGAAACTGGAATTATAACAATAATTCTCAGTGCGTAGTGCCGCCCGTCCGCTTCCGAACGCGCACTTAGTTGATATACCTAATACAGATACCTACAGTAAAATACATCGCGGAGGCATCGTTTGTAATTAAGTATAAGCAAAGTAATGAGTGTGGTACTTCCATGGTGATGTACGTCTTGATAACGTGTAGAGTAAATGAGCTATTAATTTCTTGCACCATCGTCGCATGCTTTCCCAACATTCACCCAGAATCCGACATCCACAATTGGCACCGAGCAGGTTTACAAGCACACTGATTGAACGGTACCTAACACCTCTTAATCGTAAACCAACTCGAGAATTTTCTAATAGCTTTAATAATGCGAAAAAAACCCGTGCTTTAACCACAATGTTCTGTATTTACCGTAACTGTACACACGCCGCTTTCGAGGAAATTGCTAGATACCATAAATCATGGCTTACACGAAAGAAAAATAATGATCCACCACGAGAGGTTACATTGATAATTTAAAAAAAATTTAGTGCATATGACACTGGTGTTTTAGAAAATGGGTAGTGGGTAATGTTTTTAGGGGCGGGGCCTAACTTCGGAGAAAATTGTTTTTAAATTATTTTTTAAACACTGAATGTCTAATTAAATGTGTAAGTAAGGCTAGGTCTCTTTTTAGTGCAACCTAGATAAACTAGTGAGCGTCGTCTTGGCACAGCTAAACTTTTATTAAGCAATTACACTACGCGGGAGACAAGTTCACTGTTATCATGTAGAACGTCGAACCACGGCGTAAGACGCGCCGTCTCCGTCGCCTCAGAGTTCCGCGGTTGCAGCTTAGACTTCAACTGTCATATGTTTCCGTTATCACTATCGAAGCAGATAGCTAATAACCGGTTGCATCCGCGGAGTTTTCGCTATAATGCACCAATACAGAGAATAAAGACTCAACCTTTTATATATCATCTAGCATTATATTTTAAATATAAAAAAAAACTACTATGTAGATAAATACAGACAATGCAGGTATAAAAATTACGGCACTGCTAGAAAGTTCCACTTACATGTAAAAGTTTAAGTACTTGCAGCTATAGCTGCAAATCTCTACCTAAAGGAGTGGGTACCTATATTGAGGTCAGTGAGCATCCCATTGTTACCAATGATTAACTGACTCTGGGGTCGATTGAGAAGTGATGCGCGCATGCATTGCGAGCTGCGTTGCGACCGCAGACCCCGGCCGTGAGAAATCAGCCTACAATATTACATAAGGTAATTACATTGCAAAATAGAGTAACACTAGAGTCTTGTTCGCACCAGAAGCCATTAAATGTAATACAGAGAATATTTAACGATAGGTTTTATAATTGTATTGTTAGCAAAATAAGTAATAAACATGATCTAAAAACCTTTTATTAGTTTTCTCAGCGAAAATTAAACGAAAAATAAACCACTCAGATATACGACTGAGTGTTGAAATTGGCGCCGAATTATTCACTTGCTTACTATCAATCGTACGTAGTCTCAAGTGGACTACCAACGTTGAGTCGATGTTCCCAGCGATAGAGTCCGAGAAAGCGCCCGGCCCTCGCCCCCGGGGCAGCCGCAGGCCGGCCCACCACACAATAGCCGGTGTCGTAATGCAGATGGTAATTAGCGCCGATTTGCTTTTATATCTCCGGATCTAAATCTTCACGCCTATCCCGAATGAGTTATTGGATACACTCATGTTTTGAGCTTCCCAGATTTAATACTTTTGTAGTTATTTTACGGGCTTACCTTTTACAACATTTGACTTCGGTTGTTGGTGTATTAAGCCAATTTTTAATTAGAAAACATTCCCTAGCAATTTAGTTCTATTTAGGTGCATTAGCTACAGGTGCCGAGATCACTCTCGTGAGACAAACCTCTCGGAGCGACCACACAATGGTTAATTTCCGTTGGGAAACGGTGTTTATATCAGAGGATAATTATTTGATAGGGAAATGAAAAGATCATCATTCAGGTATTAGTAGCCTTACATGACCGAAAAAGGTTTGTTCTATTCTTCGTCCATCAGATAACAGTTCTGATCTCACCTGTATAGCGACGGCGCGTGGCAGCGGCGAGCAGCGGCGTCTGCCTGCTCGATGAGTTGCGCGAGTGCGCGTGCCTGCTCACCCAGCGTCAACAGCTCCAACTCTTCACGACCCAGCTTGTACTGCAGCTCCGCCTGCTGGATGCGCGTGTCGATGTTGCTATACAAATAGTAACCACTTTTATCATAGGACTTTGTAACGGTTTAAAAGTCTAAAAACATTTTTTTTTATATAGCAACCTCCGCTGGCATAAGGCCACTCTACAAGACATAACTGGCGGGTCATGATCCTCTGATGTTTTTATTGCCCTGTATATACAGGATAGCATAATAATAGTTTTTAGAGTGGTTTCCTATTAAATTGTTTACTACATACTCAGTAACGTGGGTCTTTTCAAGCCGGCGCCTGAGATCTTGTATGTTGTTCTTTCTGGCCTCGAGGTCGGCCCGCACGGCAACGGCGCGCTCCTCCAGCGACCTCCGTTCATCCGCAGATAACGTGGTGGCAGCCTCCTCGCGAGGACTGCCGCGCGGCGATGTCGGCGACGACATGGTGGACGCCAGTCTCGCCGCGCTTAGTGATGCGCTAAGTTGCTTTTTTAGACTGTAAGTAACAAGAATAATATGTAAACATTCCGACTGAATAGGTTCTGTAGCCGTAAATTGAAAACGATCATACCTTTGTATAAGAGTATCTTTATCCGTGAGTGCGGACCGCAACGCGTCCAGCTCGCGTCCAATCTCTCTGCCCGCGCTGCGTCTGCGCGCACCCGCTAAAGATACCTCGATGCTCGCCATCTGCGTACACACGAGAAATTTTGTACATAAGAAAGAGAAATTCTTTTATTGACTATTATTTATATATTTGTTGTAAATATCCAATGTGGACGCTTATACAGAAGGCCGTGTACAGAATGAGAGTCGCTCAAAGTCTCCATGGAGTGAATCATGCTCCGTATCAAACTTATAGACCGAGTCCCGAATTCTGATATCCGTAGACGAACTAAGATTCAGGACATAGGAGATTAGATAACGAATTTAAAATGGAGCTGGGTGGGACATGTTGCGAGACGTAGTGAACACAGGTGGAGTACGGCGAGAACCTAATGGTGGCCAAGAAACGTGAGACGTCCTGTAGCGAGACGGGTGGACGACATTGTCAAAGTTGCAGGCAGTACACGGGAGAGAATAGCCAAAAAAACTACGGGAGGCCTATACCGAGCAGTGGGTCAAGTCGGGCTGTGGATGATGATGAAATGTCCACTTAGTTACAAACTTAATAATAGTATGAATGAGAATTTACTGTTACAGCTTCCAATATTTAATGCCATGTAAAAAGTGCATCTGAGCTTTCGTTTCGCTGTGATTAGCGGCCATAGATCGAGCAATTAGCCCGCATGCGCAGGCGCAACGATCGTGTCGGTCGGCACTAATGACATCTACATTACTGTCTGTGCAAAAACCACTCGTCGCCGACGTTGGAGTGTTTAGACGGCTGATTTATTACACACCTTACTTTGTCATTGTAGTGATTAGAACGTCATACGTTTTGTTGCTGGTAAATGAGAGCTTCATTCACACATGTCTTGCGGTAAAATTTTGTTATTAACACGTTAACTGCCATACGAGTATACTCGTAGTATTTTTTTTTATATGGCTATTGCCACTATACAAAATGGTAGGTACGTGTATACTCGTAGTTGGCAGTGGACCCTAGTTCAAAATACGAGTTTACTCGTAGTTTGGCAATAAAATAGGATTTTTATTAGCTATTGCCAAACTACGAGTATAGTCGTAAATAATTCAAAACCTATTCTGGTTCCCGTGTCAAATAAAAACGGTAGGGTTTCAATGAAACCTAATGTAGTCAGAGATTATAATAACGGAATGTCCGGGATCGATCTTTCAGACCAAATGCTCTCGTACTACTCAGCTCTTAGAAAGACATTGTTTTGGTACAAAAAACTAGCGATCCACATTTTTGAAATTTTCATCCATAATGCATGCATGATCTACAACCAACAAGCCAACCTTCCTCCAGAAAACAAAATAGATGCTCTTTCGTTCAAAGATGAGGTTGTAAAATATCTTTTAGGCGAGAAATTCACAAAACACAGACTTCAGGAGCAGAAAAAGCAAGTACAATTACATTACTTAGAGCGTTTACCACCTACCCAAAAAAAACAAAAACCGACGAAGCCGTGTCGTGTCTGCACCAAAGAAAAAAAACGCAAAGAAACAGTTTACTATTGTCCGGTATGCCCTGAAAAACCTGCCTTATGCGTTGAAAATTGTTTTAAAATTTTTCACTCCTTTGTGACTTCACAGTGATGTAACTAATTTTTTTTGTATGAAACTTAATTTTCTGATTTAATTAATGTTTTATTTCAAATGCCAAAGAATTTAACCCCGCCTTCCTTACACGGCCACTGTTTAAAAATTCGTTAGAAATCGCATACAATCAACTACGAAAATACTCGTAGTTGGCGGTGCCGCCCAGATCATGTACTACGAGTATACTCGTAGGTTGGCAGGCAACGTGTTAACTGAATAGACTTGTTATACGTATCGTATAATGAATAGGCTCGCGACAGAGTAACAATTTGATGAATCATAGCTTTTAGACAACTCTTGAAACTTGGTATTACTAGAATTCCAAATATCTCGAGATGTTTTTATTTATTCGTTTATTGCATGTCACATACATAGCTAATTTTAGATGTGACGGTGTTGGGCAGGTACATGTGCTGCTTTACAAGGGTATAGCAACTGCAGAACAGAGTTCTTACTTGCAGATTGCTTAATGCATTACTTTATAACATTATACTACACTATTAATTTTTACAATATCATCACATTACTATCGTCAAAAAAATAAAAATGTCAAAGTAAATCGTATAGAGTAATTAATAAAATAAAAATAATTTGTGTGTCTTGACAACGGACTTCGACTGATATTTAAATTAGACTAATGCCAAGCAACGAAAGTTCACAAGCCATTACAGTTACGTAAACTTACGCTGGGTCAAACATGAATCTCAATAGATTCCTAGCAAACAGTGAAATGATGTATAAATGTAGGAAGCGAACAGCCGATTGGCTCCTCAGCCCTTCATTATTGTCATTAGCGTCCCGTTGCGGCCGCGGGCAGTAGGACGGTTTGCACGCCCGTCTGAGACCGCATTGATCTACGGTAATGAGCATTCTGTAAACAGCTCGTTGGTTCGTAGATTACTGTTGATTTTGAACATTCCATGTTTCATCCATCGGTTATCCTTTTGATATTACCCCATTCGCTACCTCCGCCCTGTTTAGTCTTTCCATCCAAGCCTGTTAATTCTTTGTTTTTTTGTCTTATAATACCAACAATAGGACGGAACAAACAAGTCCTTACAGTGCCTCTCAGGGCTTTAAATCGCAATGATCTTAGGGGCACTGCCACTGCGCATAAGTTGACAAGTCCCATGTGGCTGTAATTGCACCCTTACCCTTTTAAACCGGAACGCTGTAATGCTCAGATTTTTGCTTGGCTGCAGAGATAGGTAAGGTGGCAGTACTTACCTGGACGAACTCTTTCACAAGGAGCCCTAGTCCTACTGAAAAAACTGGTACTTTTGATTCGGCCTTTTTAAATACATCCTTAATTTGGTACAGATACGTACATTTATCAGTGGAAATGAAAAGCTTAGACCTACGAACAATGAGGGGTTCTTTCATAGCGTGCGGCTCGTACGACGAAGCCGTTACCTTCCCCATAAACCCCGCTGACCCCTTTGACGTCTAAGTGTCCATAGGTACCCTTTAAAAAAAAAATTTTTTTGTATTTATCAAGTATATAAAAACAAGAATGTGAATGTACCAAAGAATTAAAAAAACAATCACAAAATTTACCATTTAACTTAAACTTGAACTTAATCATTTCCCTCCACGTTCGTGCGATTAATTTGTCCTATTCGTATGACAAAACCGTTGAAGTTCTAAAAAATAAATATGGACGTACGCAAAGTAACGCCTGAATTAATAATTATACATGAAGTTCCCTTGTGTGTTGAACTGTTAACTTTCTACATATTACTTGTTTGCAATTTCATTGAAATCCCATCAGTTATTGTAATAGGTTTCGAGAACTTACTATATTCCAGACACAATAAACCCAGCGCAACGTTGCAATTTTTTAAATTTTGTTTTAGGGACATTTACAAACAAATAAACACGCTATTAAGGTATTGATTAAATCTACATTGATATAATTATAACGTTTTTATTAAAATAAACGACCTTAAAAGTTATGTGCCAAGTTTAATTAAAATTAGTCAACGGAAAATGGGTGCAATCTAATTAACCAGATTCATCCCCTAATTTGCCATCCTTAGAGGTGTAATATTTTCTTCAAAATTGGATGAGACCACAACTGAGGTACCCCCTTTCCAACAAAAAAAGAATCATCGAAATCTGTTCACAAATGTCTTAGCAATCATAGTAACATAGACAGAAATTACAATCGAATTGAGAACCTTACATTTTAAAGTCGGTAAAAATTGATATACTCTTTACTAACTACTCTAGTACTCCTATACTGGACTATAAAAATAATGTCAGATGCGAAGTTATTGGGGAATCTACATTCCGGTCAAAAAACATAGTTCAGTTTTTGTGTAATGGTCTTTTTGGGGTATATTCGTAGGTAACGGTCACTGCCAAACAATTACGTGAGTAACAAGAAAGTGTAGTAAATAAGTCGACTATGAGTTCATTAGCGTCTACGCAAGCGAGGAAGCCGCCGTTCGTTAGCGACGTTTCCTGCGCCCGCGCACGCTTCGTTCCACACCATGACGCTTTCGAGCACACAATAAACCAACCAGATCTTTCCTTTGAGAACTAAGTACGTGAAATTCTTAGAAAAGTCAAATTTTGTTAATGATTCCCTAAACATTTATTATTACTCCTAGAGAATAACTAACGAAATCACTTATAATGTGATGAGGATGTCCCAGGTTCGATTCCCGGTAGAACGAAATTGCGAAATGAACTTTTCTAAATTGGTTCTGGGATGTGCCCGAAAGTGAATTCAGTTGCTCTGGCACATTATTATTATGATTATTCCACAAAAACCACGCGTGAGCAAGCAGAGTGGAGTTTAATCAAATTTCATTAGATTTACGTTACAAATACGCAATGTAAATGTTATACACAGTTCCAAAGGGCTATTTAGTCTCTGTGCAGCTACCTTAGATTGTTTTTTTAATTGACTGCACGAGATCGCTTTTATAGCCGCCTCTGAAAACCCATTTCCCTTTTCCTACTTCGCTGTTCTCTGGAACTTTATTGCCTAGTTGCATCCACAAAACACAGTGTTGCGCCATTTGGTTACATCGTTAGAGAAGTGTCCAATAAAAGCAAACTGGGAAGTTTTATAGGCAAGTACGAGCGGCAGACGGCGACCGGCGCGGGCGCAGGCGATGGCAACAAATCTCGCGCGCGCGATTTTATCTCCGTAATGAAGGTATAGCGGACGAAGCGCGCGCTCAACTATCGTGATTCGTGATCGTAGGGCTAGGATTCCAAGAATTTTTCATTCTTTCCTTTCAAATATGATATCTAGTAACAGAGTAATGAATTGTAATCGCCTCGATTACTATTATTAAGACGGGATAAGTGTAGGTATGTGGCGAATTCACAGTATACATATAGTGACAGAATTATCTTCTTGTGTTCAAAATACTGATCACAGTTACCAGTCTGTATGGCAAAAGCAGTAGATCATAAATTGTATTAAATTTGTATTAAATTGATATTCA